AAAAAAGAAACAAAACAAGAAAACCATCATAGACATATTGCTGATGAGTGATACCTCCTAAGAAGAGCCTCAGGCAGGTCCTACCTTCAGGTAGGTATTCAGGAAGGCATTGTTGTCATAGGAGATGGCAGCTCCGTGTGTGTATCGCCCCTGAAAACCCTCCAGTGGACAAGATGTGGAGTGTCAGACAGTGATGTTGGTGATCCTGATGCTGTATAGGCTTAGCCGATGTGCGTGTTTGTCTTATGAAAAAGTTTAAAAAGTAAAAATTTATAAAAGGTAAAGCAAAGCTACAGTAACCTAAGGTTGTTACTGAAGAAACTATTTTTAAAATTGACGGGTGTAGCCTAAGTATGCCGCACTTTTAAAGTCTACGGTATGTAATGTGCTCAAAGGCTTCAATTCATTCACCAACTTACTGATTCACTCAAGGCAATCCAGTTCTTGCAAGCTTCATTCATGGTAATGCCCTAACACAATATGTCGTTTTTTATCTTATATATGTATTTACTGTCTTTTCTATGTTTAGCTTGCCTACGAGTATTCAGTACTTAGTTTGCTGTACAGGTTTGTTTTAGACTAGGGAGCAATATGGGCTCTGAACATAGAGCGCCAGGTGTGTTAGTAGGCTCTACCACCGATAGGTTTGGTGAACATATACTCTCTAATGTTTCGGCAGCAACGTGAAATCACTACAAAGCATTTCTCAGAATATATTCCCATCTGTAAGGTGTACTGTGACAGTGATCCTGTGAGACACACATTTGAAAACAATGTGTCCACTAAACACTGGCATGGTGTTGTCTGTCTTCTAGATTATGCGCTAGGTCCTTTTCCTAGTTACGTTGATAAAATGATGGATTATGGGTAAATCTGCAGGAACCATAGATTCTCCAAACCCATTTCCTTCATTTGATAGACATTACTACATGCGCGCACGGGGTGTGGTGGCTCATGCCGATGTAATCCTAGCACTCTGGAGGCCGAGTGGCGTGAGGATCGCTCAAGGTCGGAGTTCGAAACCAGCCTGAGGCAGAGCCAAGACCCCATCTCTACTACTGAAATAGAGAATGAAATTTAATTGGCCACACTAAAAATATATAGAAAATTATTAGCCGGGCATGGTGGTGCATGCTGTAGTTCAGCTCCGGGAGGCTGTGCCAGGAGGATCGCGTTGAGGGCGCAGGAGTTTTGAGGTTGCTGTGAGCTAGGCTGATGCCCCATGGCACTCTAGCCAAGGCAAAGCGTGACGACTCCTGTCTCCAAAATAGAAAAAAACATAAACAACAAAAAAATACTATGTAAAAGAGAATATACTTGTGGCCTTTCTAGCACCTCAGACTTGAGCAAAGATAAAGGGATTTTTTTCCTTTTTCCAGCGTTTCCCAGATTGACTAACGAACCACACCTAAATTTATTTTCTTACATTTGTTTTAAACTGACCCAAGAGAAAGCAGCTGTAACAGGTGAAGATGTTACCGATAAGACAGTGAAAAATTGTTGAAAGATGGACAAATTCTTCTAGGAAGGCTGGACAAGCATGAGTTAGACGGAGGGTCGTAGGAAGTTTTTTCTGGTAACAAAGCAATTTTAAAAAATCAAAAAGCAGGTTAAAAAAATGCATGGAATAGCTGAATGATGGGGTGGAGATACATCTATATGGTTCTGGTTACACTGTTTTATTTCCCAGTGAAAGCCTGACCTTTGCTAAAGGCTTACTGATAGCAGTTAGCAGTTCCGGGTTTCAATGAGCACCACATGAATTTCTAAAATAGAAATGAACACTTGATAAATATAAGTATACAGTTAAGCATAATGAACAGGGATATATATCCTGGACAACAATTTTCCTACTTTTCTGTATTAAAAAAAAGACTTTGAGGCCGGGGCGCTGTGGCTCCGCCTGTAATCCTAGCTCTTGGGAGGCCGAGGCGGGCGGATGGCTCAAGGTCAGGAGTTCAAAACCAGCACCTGAGCAAGAGCGAGACCCGTCTCTACTATATAATTACAAAGAAATTAATTGGCCAACTGATATATATATATAAAAAAAATTAGCCGGGCATGGGTGGCGCATGCCTGTAGTCCCAGCTTACCGGGAGCTGAGGGCAGAAAGGATCACTCGAGGCCCAGGAGTTTGAGGTTGCTGTGAGCTAGGCTGACGCCACGGCACTCCACTCTAGCCTGGACAACAAAGTGAGACTCTGTCTCAAAAAAAAAAAAAAAAAAAAAAAAGACTTTGAAAAAAGTGTTATGACGGATAATGGTGGAGCATGTAAGATGGGCCACTTTGCAAGAGCTGGGTGTACCCCCCTTGTTGTGGCAGCCACCCTGCAATCAGATAAATTCTCTGTTCAGCTCAGCAACATGTAGTGAGCAAAGACTATGGACAGGCCATCTTCTGGGTCCTGGGGTACTTACTTTCACACGCTTGCTTCGGGACAGGGGCAGGCACTGACTGCTGCTCTCTAGGGAGGAAACACTATTTACACACATCCGAACTGGTCTAATACCATCCAATGAAAACTCAAATCATGACCTGGCAAGAAAACCCAAACTAGACATCTGAACACAGGCAAAGGAAATTTTGTTAATACACAATTATTAATCACACACAACCACGGCTCTATCTGCTGACTAGAAACCGAAACACACAATTGTCAAAAACTAGAAAAATGAGTTATGTCCACGTTTAAAAGCAAAATGTTTATACATTTCTCACTAACGCTTATTCTCAAGTTTTATCCCACAAAGTACAGCATGAACAATCACAGCATAAATATTATTCAAGTAAAAAGCTATTTAAAATAGCTGCACACGGGTAATTAAACACTGGGATCCAGTCTTCAGAGAAAAAAAAATCATGTGGGCACAATTTCAAGTTCATAATTGAAGTTAACAATAACATAGATTTGTTTGCATTTGCTTCTGATCTTTATTTCACTGAGTCTCTCCGTAAGAACAAAGGCAGACATGGGAAGAAGAGATATCACTTGACATTAAATCCTATTTAAAAGCCACTCATACAGATGACGATAACAGATATAGATCAGCTTTTTAAATGAGAATCCCTATGTAGCTGGAGGAAGTAAATGGAGAAGTGTTTTTTCAAGGCCAGTAGACTCTCGTTATCTGGTAATTTCACTTGAGTTGTATTTGCTGCCATGTTCCTGCTGAGAGCTCATGGTGTCAATGCCTAGCAAAGTACTTTATTCACAGGGGTTGTTAAATAAAGCGAAATAATGCCTGACAAACATGGGAAGATCAATATCCCCCTTTGGTCTAGATCAGGGGCTGGCAAACTTTTCTTAAGGAGCCAAACCATTAATATTTTGGGATTTTGCAGGCTACACTATGTCCCAACTATTCCACTCTGCCAAGAAAGCAGTCACAGACCATAAATGAGTGGGTGTGGCTATGTTGCAATAAAATTTCATTTATGGTCACCGAAATCTGAATTTCATATAATATTCACATGTTGTTCAATATTATTCCTCTCTTGATTTTTTTCCCAACCATTAAAAAATATGAAAACCATTCTTAGCTCATGGATTCTACAAAAAATAGGTGACAGGCAGATTTGCAAATCCTGGTCTAATGTTCCTTTTCTATTTCCTGTTGTAAAATATACTTTTTTAAAAAAGCTCATCTATCACATATGATTATCTTTTTTTTTTTTTTTTTTTTTTTTTGAGACAGAGTCTCCCTTTGTTGCCCAGGCTAGAGTGAGTGCCGTGGCGTCAGCCTAGCTCACAGCAACCTCAAACTCCTGGGCTCGAGCAATCCTTCTGCCTCAGCCTCCCAAGTAGCTGGGACTACAGGCATGCGCCACCATGCCCGGCTAATTTTTTATATATATATCAGTTGGCCAATTAATTTCTTTGTATTTATAGTAGAGACGGGGTCTCGCTCTTGCTCAGGCTGGTTTTGAACTCCTGACCTTGAGCAATCCGCCGCCTCAGCCTCCCAAGAGCTAGGATTACAGGCGTGAGCCACCGCACCCGGCTCACATATGATTATCTTATTAAAGATAACAAAAAATGTTCTTAAAAACACTTGTCTTTCTTCCTGCAACCCAGATCCATTTTACTAAACAATAATCTATTTATTTTTAAATAATTTTAATTGTAAAATTAATCAAGATTATTATAATGAGTCTCTGGCCCTCAATTTATGTACCTAGTGAGCCAAACTATGTAAGAAAACTCAAATTTGCCAGCCAGCCAAGGAATCATTGGCTTATGAAGTTAAAAACGTATTTGAAAGTATTCCTCACAATCTCAGCATCAGTAATTCGGGTTCTAAAAAATAATGTGGGAGCATTTGTATTCTTTTTTTTTTTTTTTTTTTTTTTGAGACAGAGTCTCCACTTTATTGCCCAGCTAGAGTGAGTGGCCGTGGCATCAGCCTAGCTCACAGGACTCAAACTCCTGGGCTCAAGCAATCCTTCTGCCTCAGCTCCCAAGTAGCGGGACTACAGGCATGCGCCACCATGCCCGGCTAATTTTTTCTATATATATTAGTTGGCCAATTAATTTCTTTCTATTTATAGTAGAGACAGGGTGTCGCTCTTGCTCAGGCTGGTTTCGAACTCCTGAACTCGAGCAATCCGCCTGCCTCGGCCTCCCAGAGTGCTAGGATTACAGGCGTGAGCCACCGCGCCCGGCATTTGTATTCTTAATAGAAAAAAAGATGTATATACCTAAACCTTAAGTAATTCGAATGTTGTATAAACCACCTAAAAACTATACAAATAAAGAGCAGAAATTAACTGTCAAAATGCTCAGTATGTGATTCTTGACAGGGCCTGGGCACTGTCACTACGAGGCAGATTTCAGCTCTGTCTTCTCTTGGTGGGCTCGGGGTCCAGCTGGTCTGATCCAGTCCAGAAGCAAGGAAGCTCCAGGACTGGAGGCCACCCTTGTGCACACATGGACCTTCTAGGCCGTTAGTTACTCCCCACAGCTCCCCAGTGGCTGGGGGGGGGATGCTAAGTCCTGGGTTGGTTCCGGAGTAATTGCACCCGGCACTAATTGCACCATTCACATTTTCCTTCCACTGCCAGGAGTACCCACAGAATGTGAGCAGAGTCTACACACAGAGAGGCAGGGAAAGGAAGGTGCTTCATTTCCCCCTATTTGGCCTGGGACAGCCTTTATTGCTATGTGGATGGGAGGCATGTCTGGAAGAGCCTAGAATTTTCTTAATTGGAGTTTTTCTTTCAAAGTGAGAGGTAATACCAGTCAGAGGAGTTTTTGTTTTTTGTGTTATTTGAATGACAATCTGTAAAAATTTATTAGATAAATTCAAGGTCTCAAGTCTCTTCTATAAAATGAATTGGCAATTATGGAAATCTTTTTCCCTTTTGAGAGGACTCTGTGAAAGTGCTTCTGCTCTATTAGAGGGGAGGGAGCGGCACTACAGCAGGACAGAGAGCTCAGGCTGCACATGGCGGCCACTCCCTCAGGCTCAGGATGGTGGGCAGACGGGCAGGGCCTCCCCTCATTTTGGCAAAATGGCTGCCAGTGCACCAGGTAAGGCTGAGTGGGGCCACTCTTAACAACGGCTCCTGTGCTTACTCCAAACTGTCATTTCTTTGCAAAGTAGTTTCACTTTCTCTCAGGCTCATGGTATCCCACCAAGCTAAGTAAGGCCTGCATAGAACCTCCCCTCTGCACGTGGGACGGGAGATGCTAAATGCATGTCCACACATGGCATGGCACAAGGTCACCCACTGAAGAGCCAGGCCGAGCGAGGCGAGCCTTCCATCCTACCGAGCTCCCTCTGCTATGCTTTGCTTTACGCCTCAGCTCATCTCCTAAAGGAAACAAAATGAAGTGGTGAATAGCATAGAAATGAAAATCTTCAAGTGGTAAATTTAGGACAGTGAGGACCTCACTTAAAAAAAAAAAAGGTCCCAAACCAGGAAAAGGTGCACCTCCATTCCTCACAGAAGCACAGGCAATTCTGTGCTATTTCAGAAGTCTTTGGGCAAAAGTCATTCATTCAACCTCTGAATACACAGTGTCTTCAGTCCTGAGCTGGCAGATGCCAGGGAAGGGGGTGCTGTGACCCCCGACCTGCCTGTCAGTCACAGTCAGGGGTCGCCTTTGAAGTGCTCTGTGCCCACATTCCAAACCACGTGGGAGATGGTTGTGCCACTGCCCAGGCAGTGACTGAGACTTTGTGACAGTACAAAGGGGCCGGCCGGCCTCAGTGGACTTTGCTCTGAGGCAGCCAGGGTTGTGTGCTCCAAGGGCTTCATTCTATAAACCCAGGGCTGGCTCTCCTGGAACCTGCAGCCACAGGTATGTAGTATATTTTGGTCCCTACTTAGGTGTCCCTAGTTAGGGGAGGGATAGGATTTGCATCTGCTTAAGATTACAAGGACTGGATGAGTTTTGAAAAATTCGTAATTCCAATAACCTATTAGTTTATTTAAAATGACGAATGGCACGTCCTCGTATATGTCGGTAAGCCTCCTGTTTCATTTCTTTAAAGAACTGGAGAATCCTATAAGCCTCCGAAACACACATACTTGAGTTCCAGATACTCATCGATGCCATACTTGGACCCCTCTCGCCCAAGGCCAGACTGCTTCACCCCACCGAAAGGGCACTCCACCGAGGAAATCAATCCTTCATTTACGCCAACCATGCCAACTTCCAGCTGCTCAGCCACTCTCCAGATCTGGGCTGGGTCTTGAGAGTAAAAATAACCTGTCACAGGGATACAAGAACATGTAAGGTACACAGAATATTCATTAAAGACATCATGTCTAAAGCTGAGGACACCACTGGTGACAATTTGTCTAGTCGCTCTGGCCTGAAATCCTCCCTGCTCCCAGATAAAGCCTCAAGTTAGTCATGTCTACTTCTTCAACTCAAAACCTTTGGAAATCATCTTTTTCTCCCATTCTACTCTTGCTAGGGCTCTCACTTCTCCAATCCGGACCCAGGTGCTGTTTTCTGCTATTCAATCCATCCTGCACACCTCTATGAGATTTCCACATGACATTTTTACCCAAACCTTTCGGTGACTCCTGGTTATCTATAAAATAAGGCTAAACTTGGCTGGGCGCGGTGGCTCACGCCTGTAATCCTAGCACTCTGGGAGGTCGAGGCGGGCGGATTGCTCGAGGTCAGGAGTTCGAAACCAGCCTGAGCAAGAGCGACACCCTGTCTCTACTATATAAATAGAAGGAAATTAATTGGTCAACTAATATATATAGAAAAAATTAGCCAGGCATGGTGGTGCACGCCTGTAGTCCCAGCTACTCGGGAGGCTGAGGCAGGAGGATTGCTTGAGCCCAGGAGTTTGAGGTTGCTGTGAGCTAGGCTGATGCCACGGCACTCACTCTAGCCTGGGCAACAAAGCGAGACTCTGTCTCAAAAAAAAAAAAAAAAAAAAAAAAAAAAGGCTAAACTCCTTAGTGAGAATTCAAACCCTCTCTAATGCAGTTTCAATCAACATTTCCAGCTTTACCTTCTACCACTCCAATCGCCATCTTCTCGAAGCATATCGACCAAATCCTCCTTGCTCTTTCTTACTTTGCCTCCGAACTCCCTTGGTCCCCTCTGCCCACAATCTCCCTCCTCCAATCTCTGCAAAGCCAGAATCCTGCCCATTGATTATGAACTAGTTCAGGCGACGGCTTCCTCCACCATCATCTCTTTGAGAAAAGAAGACACAAATGCTCAACTTAAGTGTTACAGGAGTCCTTGTGCACACATCTTATCCCAGAGGCTCTGAGCTACAGCTGTATCTTATGTGTCTCTGTATCTTCCCTCAGTGGTTCATTCACTGAGGATGCTAATACTAATTTTCTCAGGGTTATAGGGTACATACTGTGGCCACCTTGCCCATCTCCAAACTGAAAGAACGACAGCCACTCAGTGAGGCATCCGCTTCACACACTCCTCACACCTTTAGCTGGCCCTGGCACTCTCTGCTGATGCCCAGGGCTGCATTTTTACCTTCAGGCTTTCGGGAGCCAGGCAGAGGGGAAGAAAAAGCACTTGGAATTTCTGGGCATTAGTTGCTAACAACATGGGACTTTGAGATGTGTGCAGTTCTCCACCTAGAATACTCTGCACTGTCTCTTCTCCCCATGGCTGCCCCTGCCCTCCAGCCCCCAGCTCTAACAAGAGAGATCCCAAAGGTGTCTCATGGGGGACAAGGCAAAAGAACACGCACTTGCACAAATACGCCCCTGCCACCTGGAAATCAACAAAACACATACCCTATTGAAGTTTCTTTCTCAAAGCCTAGGGCAATGTTTAAAAGGCAAAAAGTGTGGTATTAGCTTGACAAAATGGTCACAATGGCTATTGAACGAGGACAAACACCTACCTGCTAAGCCCACGTCAGTTGCATTAGCGATCGCCACAGCCTCCTCCTCTGTATCGAACCTGCCAAAGTTAAGTCATAAGCAAAATCTGTAAGGGAGAGAGCAAAGAAAACCAGCTTTCTTTTTTCCTAATCTGCTTCCCAAATAGTGGCAGGGGATAAATAAGAGTTTTGCAAAAGAGATCTGAGGGCAGTGTACGGAAGAAAACAGCACCATTCCAAGATAACTCAGTGTGCAGGACTGGCACACTCAAAGCAACACTGGCTTCATCTCTTCTAAAAAGGCAAACCAACATGCAGGAAACTGGCATATCTAGAATACCAAATAACATCCCTTTAAAAAAGGATTACTGCTCTTGGCACCCACTGAGACTATATAACAATCCTAACAAGTACTTCAGAAGCCAGCATAATGAAGCAGAAAGAAAACTGTTCGGGGGAGGTCAGGCTGGTTTCTAATGTTGCTTCTACCACTTACTACTGCTTAACAGTGCCTTGGTGCTTGGACTTCGCTCCCCTCTGAGATGAAGGAGTGCACCAAAGCCCCATGCGGTCTCTTCCAGCTTTATAATTGTACTTTAAGAACAAGATGTGGGTGGTGTTCTTTTTTTTTTTTTATTGTTTCTGAATTGTAACTGGGCCAAAATGTTCTAAGCACTCCAATTTCTAAATTCAGAGGTGGCAGTGGCAGCTGTCTCTCTGCAGGGCTTGCAGAGGGAGACGTGGTGGCGCTGGCTCAGAAAATTTCACCTGTCCCAGGGTACACAGGTATGAGGAAGCAAAGCCTGCCTGAATCCACACCAAAGTCAGCTCAAGCCTGCGTTCCCAACCGCTGTGTCTTTTCAGTTTCCTCTGGGAATGTCTAGTTAGCATTTTAGGTATAAAGTTTTTATTAAAACTAAGAAGATGAAAGTTCTTCAAGTGGTCCATTTCCCCAATGGTGGAACAAAACTAAACTTCCTTAACAAGATGGTAACAAGGCCAGTAGAGCACATGACACGAAAAATTTCTGGTTCCAGACAAGATGGCACAGTCAGCACCAGCTGCCGTGCTCTTTGTGAACCCAACACTAGAGATGCCAAGGAGAGACAAAGAAAATTGTGGTTCAAAAAACCTCAATTAGCAACTACCGTGTTTCCCCGAAAATAAGACAGGTCTTATATTTACTTTTCTTCAAGAAGACACCTTAGGGCTTATTTTCAGAGGATGTGTTATTTTTTTTTAACTACAGTATAACAATCTACATTTATTCAAATATAGTTAAGTTTTGTTCTGGAACATCATCATAACTCTCCAAACCCTGAATTCCATCCTGAATTTCTTGCAACTCTATTTCCTTTAGAACCATTGGCCCCAATCTATCATGTCGAGCAATAGAGCTCTCGTGGGGCAGATAAGGGCTGCTCCTTGTCTTTACCGCTCCGCGAGGAAATGCACGGGTTGTGCAGATATGCTGTGTAGCCACGCCCATCACTAGGTCTTATTTATATTGCGAAAATGCTTAGAAATCCTGCTAGGGCTGATTTTATGGGTAGGTCTTATTTTTAGGGAAACATGGTAATACCAAAAAAGCAGGATACCTCTGGAGGACAAGAAGGTAGTTGGTGACCAAGATAACTTTACATAAAAAGAAAAAAAAAGAAGGAGGTTGCATCCTGGGGTGCAAGGATGGCCTCAAGTGGGAGAGAGCTCGGGCCACCCATGGAGGGGTGGGCAGAGCAACAATAGATCTGTGGGGCCTTGGAGGAAGGGCTGTACCTGTCCCATCAAACCTGTGAGCTCTAGGTGACCAGCCTCTAAATCTGTATCCCCGGATCAATGCTAGCTTGCTATGGGGCAGAAAATCAGCAGGGCCAGCCTGGGGCAGCAGGGGGTACACTGGCCATCCTGAACAAGTGTAGGCAGCAGCAGGACCAGGGCCTCTTCTTCTCAACCTGTTACAATACAGGGCACCACAAAATACCCCAGCTGCAAAGGATAACTGGGGCGGGGGAGTGGCATTGAGACTAGATTTTAATACTAGATGCTTTCATCTAGTATTAAAAGTTGAGGGGGAGGCTCAACCCTTTGTGAGGCTCGACCTCACGCCCTCCAAACACATGAGAAGGAGCACAAACTAAAGTCTATGCTTTTTACCGCAATCCCATGGTAGATGTTACAATCCAAGACTGCCAACAGTTCAAAGGGCTTAAAGATGAGCCCACAGTGACAATAACAAGACATCGGAGGAGCTCTAAGAGAAAACAGCACAACCTATCTCAGAGGAGGCAGAAACAGTGGACCAGACTAAAAATGTACAGAAAGAATAAATAGCTACAGCAAAATAAGGGAGAATAATGAAGCAGGAAGAATCAGTTATGGGGAAAAACCAACTGGAGATATTAACTGGATGGAAAAAATACTTGCTGAGATAAAGAAGGAGGGGGTGCACTGGCTAGCAGAGTGGGTGCACGTGGAGATTGCCTTGATACGCTGGCAGATGAGGAGAAGGGCTCTCGGGTACTGGGAGTGGATGAAGAGAGAGAATGAACAAACAAGAGCTAACAGAAGCGGGGGGTGGAAGTAGAAGTATCACAGTAATAGACTTCTTAGAAGGCTGGAAAAGGATAAATGGAGGGAAGTATTAATAGAATATTTGGAGAAATAATGACCAAGAATTTCCCAGGACTAAACAAACCTGTTAGATACTGAAGAAAGACACTAGGACCACAAATTGAAAAAGACCACAGTGTGCCACACCAGAGCCATTACTCTGTAAAATTTATTTACTCAGTAAAATTTAAGAACATCAAAGAACAAAAGATGGCCGGGCGTGGTGGCTCACGCCTGTAATCCTAGCACTCTGGGAGGCCGAGGCGGGCGGATTGCTCAAGGTCAGGAGTTCAAAACCAGCCTGAGCAAGAGCGAGACCCCGTCTCTACTATAAATAGAAAGAAATTAATTGGCCAACTGATATATATATAAAAAATTAGCCGGGCATGGTGGCGCATGCCTGTAGTCCCAGCTACTTGGGAGGCTGAGGCAGCAGGATTGCTTGAGCCCAGGAGTTTGAGGTTGCTGTGACCTAGGCTGACGCCACAGCACTCACTCTAGCCTAGGCAAGAAAGCGAGACTCTGTCTCAAAAAAAAAAAAAAAAAAAAAAAGAACAAAAGAAATTCTAGAAGTTTCCAAGGAGAAAAAGTCAATCCCTTTCAAAGGAGCCAGAGCTAGACATCAGATTTCTCAGCAACCACCCTGGATATCAGCAGATAAAGGAGTGATATTTTCAAAGTGTTAAACCCAGAATTTTATCCAAGTGAATTGTTATCTCCTTGTGAATGTGAAACAAAAGATCACAAAAGGTCACAGTTAATTTCCTACAGTCTCCCACGAAAGAACCCTTTGAGGATGTACTCCATTAAGCAGAAAAATGAGTTCAGCAGAAAGCAAGAAGAAATTAAAGCATTTGATAGGTTTTGTGGTCTAAATAAGTGATGATTAAAAAACTCATAAATTGAACCCTGCTCTTCAATTGACTCAACACAGTGCTCTGCCTCCCCAGCCAGACCTCAAAACAGCACAGGACTCTCTCTCTTGGTTTCCTTTTCCTCTCTGTTCTTTCTCCTGCTCTCCTACTGGCCGGATGAGCTTACTTGATCACTGGTGCCAGAGGCCCAAAAGTCTCTTCATGGGAGCAAAGCATGTCCTGGGTGACATTGCTGAGCAGGGTGGGCTCAAAGAAATTTTTTCCAAGTTGGTGTCGCTTTCCGCCTGTCACAACGGTGGCCCCTTTGGAAACTGCGTCACTCACGTGTTTCTCCACCTGCATGATTTGAAATAGAAGAGCTTTCCAAGGATACAATCTCTTACGACATTTAAACTGTAGAAAACTGTAATTGGTTTTCTTTTATCTTTATATTTAAGATAAAAACAAAGCACGCTGGTTCCTGCTAGGCAGAAGGAAGCGTATCTGCAGAGATACAGAGGCCCTAAGAGGGCATGTGCAGTGCTGCCTTCGTTCCTGCTCTTTGATTTCCAGCCGTTTGATCCTATGACTGATATTTATTGAATGGTCTAATAGACACAGGCTTGCTGCTCAGTTGTTTCCCTGGGATTTGCTTTCATCTCACTCTGAGGTTATTTCCAACTTCTTAAATCTCATGCTGTCCTCTTTCCTGGACTACACTTTCATTTCGTTCCTCAAGTAGCTGTTTTGAAAAAGGTGTGCTGATGGTGCCTCACTTTGATTTTGCTTACACTGAATAACTGATTTTTTTTTTTTTTTTTTGTGAGACAGGGTCTCAGTCTGTCACCCTGGCTAGAGTGCAGTGGCGTCATCACAGCTCATGCAACCTCAAACTATCCTCTTGCCTCAGCCTCCCGAGTAGCTGGGACTACAGGTGTGCACCACTGTGCCCGGCTAATTTTTTTTTTTCTTTTTTATAGTAGAGACGGGGTCTTGCTTTTGCTCAGTCTTGTCTCGAACTCCTGAGCTTAATTGATCCTTCCACCTCGGCCTCCCAGAGTGCTAGGATTACAGGCGTGAGCCACTGTGCCCGGCCCCAGCATCTCTCTTGAAGCCATAGCCTTCCTAGACAGTGACTGGTTCTTCAGAAGTACTGTCCTGCCCAGAACAAATGCCTCTGCTGTCTTGTGTGTCTTAGTGGTGGCAGCCATGGGGAGGGATAATGGGAATGACCCAGAAAACTATCCAAAAGTATAATCAACCAGCTCTAACTCTCCCATCCTCCTATTTCTATGCTCTACACCAACTAATTCTAAACAAATGACACCAATTCCCTCTGCAGGCTTCCCCTGGGCACACTCATCTGCTCTGATTTTTCTGTTAATACAATCCCTTCTGTTTTCCAGAAGTTCATCAGAATCTTTGGCCTACTGGAATCCTCTTCCCTTCCATTTTTGTAGGGTTTTTATAGGGCTTCAGAAGAGAGATAAATATAGGCTTGGGAGCATTCTGCCATCCACACTCAGCCTTTTAAAATTCATGCTCCTTGCAATGCTCTCAAAGCCCATCATCCACAACAAATCCCCATTAGTCGGATGGCTTACTTTCCATAATTTATATTTTTAAAGCAATTCTATTTAACTTATTTAACAGGGGCCTACTTCTTTGCCCCCAAATAGAATCTGCTCTGCCTTTTTCTTGTCATAGTAATGTGATATGCAGTGCTTCTTTCCTGGAACCCACTCTATGACAGTGTGTACATTATAGCCCCCAAAATGGGTTGCTTTTAAACAAAGTGGTTTCTGCCAGACTTCTCTCAACCAAAAAAGAAGTCCCGCAATTGCGCCTGTTTGAAACCCGAGCATACACCGCCGTCTAGAGCACAACGTCCGCATTTTCACTTAAGGGTAAAAAGACTTCGTGCTTTCCCAGCCTGGCTACAAATGAGCATAATCTGGGGCACTGAAAATATGCAAAGCCTCGGCCTGTGCAGTCGTTAAAGGTACAGCGTCGGTTGACAACAACAGTTGGCAACTTGAACCACACGGCTGGTACAGACCCAAATTGTCTTCACTGGATGAATGAACACTCCCAGTTTGTACCCAGGGTTCAAAGTCATCACTAAAATGCAAGCGGAACCAATATAAACTTTAACACATTAACTGCCATGTGAGTTGTATTTAACTCATGATAAGTTTTGAGCAGGGGCCTCATGAAGCATATGTAACTCATGCGTCTCTTTACTACCTTGGGAGCTGCGTGGTGTGCAGGCAACTCACGCTGCCATGCTGTAACATGCATATTACGTGATGGGTGGCCCCCTAGGCCAAACCCTGCAGTTAGTTCATGAAATCTTACTTATTGATGTTCTTATTGTTACAATTAACATTGACAATTTCATTGCATATAACTCACACACAGAAAACAATTAAAAAAAACCCCACATTTCTCATTAAATTAGAAAGGATCATTTTGTTTTCAAAGTTTTTATTCTATTTTTGTAATAAAACAAGGAAAAATTTTTTTCTAGTGTGGCAGTCAAGGTATTAATGTATTTTCTCTATCTAGAGTAATCCCAAGTTAATAACTAGAAATTTATCAGACCTCTGTCAAACCTCAGGCTTTCCTGGGTTTCCCGAGGCAACCACTGTGGGGTCAGCTGAATTGACTGCCCACTGGGTGGGGGGCAGGCAGCCAAGGAACAGAGAAGGCTGGTTGTGCTTCCCACGCTGAGTACTGACTTGGCTCCAACTTGACTTTGGTTCCTCAGCTTTGCCCAGGGGCTGGCTGTGTCTCCTCTCTGCCTCCTATCCTCCCTGTCCCACAAACAATCCCAGCTTCCATTGTCTGCCTGATTTTAAATATTCTTTTTAAAAAAAAAAATCCATTCTATCAGTAGAGACTTATCCAGGGAACATACTAGATGTTTAGTATTACAAGGAAGTTCTTTGTAAGTGACTCTACAAAAAAGTACTTTTTTTTTTTTTTAAACAGTAGAACAAGAGTGAAATCTCACCTAGCTAGCAGTCTAGATTATGAAATTTTTTTCAACAAACAAATCCTTTCGAAAAGTAACTTCCTTTTACTACCTCTAAATCCTGAACGTGGCACCTGTGATTCTACACACCCCCTGCTGGGAGGCTTCCATCAAGGAGTCTTCTGGAAGGGCATTTTGTCCTCAGCAGAGGAAACAACAGGCCAATGCCAGGATTACAGCGGGAACATAAACCATCTCATAAACAAAGTCAGTCTTCCTTTCCTTTTAGGTGTTCCAAAATAATGAAAGAACTTTGTGTTTCAAGATCTAAATTCCTGAGGCAGTGAGGGATACAAAACTATAACAGGAAATGTAGGGAGGGCAGCAGAAGACCTACAGTGACACATGGCATGGGGACTTGGTGCAATGACAGGGCTGAACCAGATGACGCTCTCCCCACTCCACTCCCTATTCATGTAAAATTGGTAGAAATTCACTTTTTTCTTTTCTTCTTCTTCTTTTTAAACAAAAATGCCCAGAGAAAAAGAAATTGACTCTTCACAGATTTCTCTATTTCTTCCCAAAATAGCCTTGCTGAACACTTTAACAAAGTGGCTTTTTAGAAAAATTTCAAAACATTAAGGGGGTACAAATATTTTTGTTACATGGATACCTTATATAATGCTTAAATCAGGGCTGTTAGTGTGTTCATCACCAGAATAGTGTTCATTGTAGCAATAAGTAAGTTTTTACCCCTCACTCCCTCCCCCCTACTTCTTGGTTTCCAGTGTCTTTTACATCTCTTTGTGCCTATGTGTGCCCACCGTTTAGTTCCCAATTATTAGAGAGCTCATGTCGTGTTTATTTTTCTATTCCTGAAATAACTTTACTTAGGATAATGGTTTCCAGTTCCACACAAATTGCTGCAAAATACATTATTTAATTCTTCTTTATGGCTGAGTAGTACTTCATGGTGTGTGTGTGTGTGTGTGTATTTTATAAATCCACTCATGAACTGATTGGCACTTAGGTTGATTCCACATCTTTGCAATTGTGAATTGTGTTATAATAAACATTTGAGTGCAGGTATCTTTTTGATAAAATGACTTCTTTTCCTTTGGGTAGATACCAGTAGTGGAATTGCTGGATCAAATGGTAAGTCTATATTTATTTCTCAGAGGAATCCCCATACTGTTTTCCATAAAGGTTGTACTAATTTGCAGTCCCACGGTCAGTGTATACGTGTTCCTTAATTTCTGTACCCATGCCAGCATCTATTCTTTTTTGATTTGTTAATAATGGCCATTCAGGCCGGGCGCAGTGGCTCACGCCTGTAATCCTAGCACTCTGGGAGGCCGAGGTGGGCAGATTGCTTGAGGTCAGGAGTTCAAAACCAGCCTGGGCAAGAGCGAGACCCTGTCTCTACTATAAATAGAAAGAAATTAACTGGCCAACTAATATATATATAGGAAAAAATTAGCCGGGCATGGTGCATGCCTGTAGTCCCAGCTACTCGGGAGGCTGAGGCAGGAGGATCGCTTGAGCCCAGGAGATTGAGGTTATTGTGAGCTAGGCTGATGCCACGGCACTCACTCTAGCCTGGGCAACAAAGTGAGACTCTGTCTTAAAAATAAAAAATAAAAAAAAAAATAAAAAATAATGGCCATTCTGACAGGCATAAAGTGGTTTTAGTTTGTATTTCCCTGACAATTAGTGATGTTGAGCATGTTTTCATATGTTTATAGGTCATTTATCTTCTTTTGAAATATTTCTGTTCATGTTTTGAGGCCATTTTTTGATGGGACTGTTTGTTTTTTCCTTGTTGATTTGATCTTTTTTTTTAAGCCTGATCTGGTGGATGTTTGAGTTCTTTGTAGATTCTGGATATTAGACCTGTGTCAGATGTGTAGCTTGGTAATATTTTCTCCTATTCTGTAAGCTATTTACTCTGTTGATTATTTCCCTTGCTGGGCAGAAGCTTTTTAATTTAATTAAATCCCATTTGTTTATTTTTGTTGTTGCTGTATTTGCCTTTGGAGTCTTAGTCATAAATTCCTTGCCTAGGCCAATATCTGTTAAGAGTTTTTCCTATTTTTCTTGTATAATTTTTAGGATTCCATGTCCTACATTTACATGTGTTATCCATCCTGAATTAACTTTTGTATATGGTGAGAGATAGGGGTCCTGTTTCATTGTTTTGCATGTGGCTATCAAGTTTTCCCAGCACCATTTATTGAATGGGGCTTCCCTTTCCCAGTGCATGTTGCTGTCTGCTTTGTTGAAGATCAGTTGGTTGCAGGTAGATGGTTTTATTTCAGGGTTCTCTATTCTGTTCCATTGGTCTATGTTTCTTTTATACCAGTACCATGCTATTTGGGTTACTATAGCCTTATAGTATAATTTGAATCAGGAAATGTGATGCCTCCATGCTTGTTCTTCTTTTTACTTAAGACTGCTTTGACTATTTGGCTCTTTTTTGGTTCCAAATGAAGCACAGGATTTTTTCTAGATCTTTGAAATATGACATTGGTATTTTGTTGGGGATTGAGTTGAATCTGTAAGCCATTTGGACAATATGGACATTTTAACAATGTTGATTCTACTAATCCATGAGCAAGGGATGTTTTTCCATTTGTTTGTGTCATCTGTGATTTCTTTCATCAGTGTTTTGTAGTTCTCCTTGTAGAGATTTTTGAGTCTTTAGTTAAGAATATTTCTAGGTGTTTTATTTTCTTTGTAGCTATTATAAATGGTACTATGTCCTTGATCTGACTCTCAGTTTGACTGTTATTAGTATTAAAATATATAAAAATGCTACTGATTTGTGTACATTGATTTTGTAACCTGAGACTTTGCTGAATTTATCAATTCTAGGAATCTTTAGGGTTTTTAGATATAAGATCATGTTGTTAGTAAGCAGAGATAGTTTGACCTCCTCCTTCCTGATTTCTTTCTCTTTGCTGATTCCTCTGGCTAGGACTTCTAATACTATGTTGAATACAAATAGTGACAGTGGGCACACTTATCTTATTCCAGTTCTTAGGGGAAATCCTTTCAACTTTTCCCCATTTGGTATGATACTGGCTGTGGGTTTGTCATAAATGGCTTTTATAATTTTGAGGTATGGTCCTTCTGTGCCTAGTTTGTTGAGGGTTTTTATCATGAAAGTGTGCTGGATTTTATTGACTATTTTATTGCAGCTATTGAGATGATCATATGATCTTTGTTTTTGCTGGTGAATCACGTTTATTGATTTGCATATGTTAAGCCATCCCTGCATCACTAGGATGAAACCCACTTAATCATGGTGAATTATCTTTTTGATGTGTTGTTGAATTTGGTTTGCTAGTACTAATATTTTATTGAGGGTTTTTGTATCTATGGTCATAAGGGAATCTGGGATACATGTTTTCTTTTTTTGTCGTGTCTTTTCCTGGCTTTGGTATCAAGGTGATACTGGCTTTGTAGAATGAGTTTGGGAGGAGTCCCTCTTTCTCGGTGCTGCTGCTGAAGATGTCTGTTGTACTCTGAAATTCCCCAAATGACTTTCATTTCTTTAAGTTCTGTTATATCCTTTCTTATGTTGTCCAGCTCTTTAGTAACTTTTTCATCGATGTCCTGAAATATTTTTTTTTTTGGCTTCTTTGTGTTGGTTTTCACTTTTTCTTTAATCCCATTCATCTTATTTGCCATCCATATTCTAAATTCCATTTCTGACATTTTGACACTTTTCTTTTGGCTGGGGTCCATTGCTATAGATCCATTGTGTTCCTTTGGGGGTGTCTAACCAGCTTGTTTTTTCATGTTGCCAGAGTTCTTTTGCTAGTTTCTTCTCATCTGAAACCCCTTCTCTCAGCTCAGGGCAGATAAGTTTGCAGCACACCTGTTCTCCTTTGCTGGGAACTCACCTACTTAGTGAGAAGAAGAAGTCCCTTAATAGTGCTTTTGTGATCTACTCTGGAAGACTGACCTGGCAGGAGAGGGGCAGATGCACTGAGAGCCTACACTGCAGCTGATTTGTGTTGTTTCATTCCCTGTGATTGTCACAGTTCAAGCCTGTGCTGAATGGTCTTTGTGCAGAGTAGTGGCCTGTTCCCCAGGCCACTGGTGCAAGCTTGGGTCAGGGCTGGGTGAGTCCCTCCCCATGGAGGCTGGCACTGTGGAAGATTGCTCTGCCTGGGTCTCTGTATAGTGGTGACAGTGGTAGCTAGGCAAGGCTATCTAGGCAGTAGTCATAGTTGTTAGGACTGGGGGCATTTACTCCAACCAGGTCTGATGGCATCTTAAGGCTAGTGGGTCACTGGTAGAGTCTTGGACTATGGGGGCAGTGCCTGCCAGGCAGCTGGGGGCAGCCATGGGGGTGGAGCCAAAGGGCCTGGCAGCACCACTGGAGCCTCAGGGTGGAACTGTGGGCCTGACAGCAGCAAGGCAGCCTCTGAACTAGGGCCACAGGGCCCAGCAGTGGCACTGCAGCTTTAGTGTGGGGCTGTGGAGCCCAACAGCAGCAGAGGGGCTTTGGGACCTGGGCCGCAAGGCCTGGTGGTGGTGCTGGGTCCTTGGGAATAAGGCACAGGCCCAGTAGCAGTAGGGAGCCTCAGTGCTGGGGCTGTGGAGCCTACTGGTGGCACTGGAGCCTTGAGGGCAGAGCCACAGCACCCAACAGCAGCAGGGAAGGCCTGGGAGCTGGGGCTATGGGCCCAGCGGCAGTGCTGGAACCTCATGGGTAGAGCTGCTGGGCCCAATGATGGCAATGGAGCCCTGGAGGCTGGACTGGGCAATGGTGCAGGAATTACAGGTGCAGAATCATGGGGCCAGGTGGCAGCTTGGGGATTGCCGAGACAAAGCTGTGTGGCTCAGCTGCTGGGCTGCTGGGGCTCTCCTCCTGCCCAGATCTTGCAGAGGCAGCTGCTGAAGGGCTTCTCAGGTGGTGTCTGTGGGGTCCGATCTGTTCAGACTCCCATGGGGAGAAGGGTGCTTGCTCCCTGCCATGGGGTATGCGAGATCATCCACTCTCCCTGCTCCCTCCCCAGCCAGCCAAGGCAATGACGAGGCAGCTGCAGCAAAGCCAGTCTGGGTGTAGACCTGGTGCTCTGGACCTGAGACCTTGGAATGATGTCAGTTGCAGTAACCTGGAATGAGCGCCCCCAGGTCCATGTTGTGGCCACTCTCCAGTGCAATGTTGCCGCATAGACTCCAAGCAGCTCCCTGATCAGTTTGTGGGTCTGTGGTGGTGATGGGGCCCCTCACAGCTTGGGTCTCAGTGCCCACAGGGGACTGTGGAGCCCCCAAGTTCTCTCCTGCTGTCCTTACCCACATGTGGGTACCTCCCCCAGGTACCTTCTGATCTTGTTGAATGGATCACCTGTTACCTCCTCCTTCACTCTGGATGCCTCCCATTGCTTCTTGGATGGTTCGCAATGCTCTTTCCAGGAAGGCCATCCATAGGTGGGCATCACTGCAACTTCAGTCCTCTCCTTGAGAGCAGTGTACAGGGACCGCTTCTAGTCTGCCATCTCATTGACTCCCCAAAGTGGCTTTTTTATTTGCTTTCACTTTTTATTTTTACCTTTCAATGTCATTTATTATTTATTTTGCTTTTTGTTATAAATTTTAATTTAATCATAATTATACACACTTATGGGTATAGTGTGATATTTTGATATATGTATATAATATGTCATGATCAAATCAGGATAATCTGCATATCCATCACCTCAAACATTTGTCATTTCTTTGTGTTGGAAACATTCAAAATCCTCTCTTCTATTCTGTATATTTTGAAAATATACAATGAATTATTAACTATAGTCACCCAATAGTGCTATGAAACACTAGAACATAATCCTCCTATCTAGGTATAACTTTGTATCCATTAAAGAACCTTTCCCTATCCCCTCGCCCCCCACCCTTCCAGCCAAAATGTTTTTCACTGGTTAAGCTTTTGACATTGAAACCATGACATTTAATTTACCGGATAATAAAATGAACTTACCTTTTCTACTGCCTTTTCATTAATTAATGGGCCTTGAGTAGTTCCCTCCTCAAATCCATTACCTACACGTAGACTCTTCTTCATTGCTGCAGCAAATTCTTTTACAAAGGAATCATGGATACCCCTTTGCACCAAGAATCGGTTTGTGCAAACACATGTCTAGAAAGAAGACAAAAACAAACTCATGCCAACAGTTTGTCAGAAGCTATTGACCCAACCAATAGATGTGCGATTGTTACCAATCGCTCTGTGAACACACTTCCCCATGGGGTTATCATTATGTGTCCAACTTGCTGTTTTCCTCCCCACGTGGGCGTGGCCCCAAAGATAAAAGCACCGAGTCAGTGCATGTTCCTCTCCGCCTCCCTCCACAGCTGCCGCACATCTGTGGTCAAACAAGTAAGCAAGTGTAAGCACTTGTGTGCACATACACACACACACAAAAGCCACCCCATGTTTTTTCGAATGGCTTCACTAAGCCACTGGAAAACAAATAGCAAAAACAAAACAAAACAAAACAAAAAAAACCCCAAAAACAGAAACTGCAACCCTCCTGAGGGACAGTGATATGGCAGTGACAGTGAGCAGAGGCTGGGAGGAACCTGGTCAAACACTGATGTATATCCTTCAGCTTAAAACTTGTGAGCATTTGACTGAATCTGACATTTCAAAAATGGACACAAGACCATTCTTCCACATCAGCCTAAATTATTCAAAAGATCTTGCTTATTTTTTCTATTATAATTAGACCTAGTATTTTTAAATTATAAAATATAACCATATTATAAGAAATGTAGTTATCATTAATAAATTTGCTTCTTATCTTTTTTTCTTAATCTTGTATTTTCCTACTAGAAACAAGGGTATGCCCAGGAGTCTGAGGTTGCTGTGAGCTAGGCTGACACCATGGCACTCTAGCCGGGGCAACAGAGTGAGACTCTGTCTCAAAAAACAACAACAACAACAACAACAAAAAACCCAATAGAATCAAGGGTATATATAATTTCATCCTATGCATTTTTATTGGCTTACAGCAACATACTCCAAAGTTATAGCTTTATAGTGAAACTATAAAGTGTAATATTTATAGTGTAACTATAAAGTATAGTGTAATATTAGCATTTTGCCTTTGTAAAAGAAAACATACCTATTTCTGAAAAAAAAAACAAGCTAAAATTTCACTTACCAAAGGCCAAAGCAATGATGGAAATTATTTAATAGAGAATATCACAAAACGTTTCATTATTTTTTCACAATATAACTTTTCAGGAGTATTTGCTCTGTTTCTGGAAGGCACTTAAAATTGCATATTGATGGTAATTTTAAGACAAAGCACTTAAGACTAAGGATCCTGCCAGCAGCTTGGATAGAAACTGGGAGAAAGGGCCATTGGTTCAGAGTCCCAGCGCCTCAGCAGTCGGTACTGTGGCCCAGGGATGTCTGACCTCAGCCACTTAGTCTTTCTAGACTTTCATTTCCTCATCTGCAAAACGCGAGGTTTGTATCAGATAACTTTGAAGGTCTCCGCCAGAGTATCTAATATTATGGGATTTCTTACGAATGTGTGAACTCAGGCCTCTGTTCTCCCAGGACAGCGTGGACACTCCTTGGGCACATGCTGTATGGGCCTGCTCTGTGTTGTGGCCCCTCTGATGCCCCCTCCATCTCGGGGAGCCAGGCCCCGGTAGGTCTTAGGAAGTGGCAGAGTTTTGAGTTTTTCCAGACACTCTCCTCAACATTTTCCTACCTTCTTTCCCTTAAGACTGTGGGCCTCAGAGACCCTACCTGTTCATAGCTGTTTTCCTTCTGGAAATTCTATCAGTTGAGAATATCCCAGTGAGGGAAAACTATGAAAATAATCAGATTCAAAAGGGTAGGGGAAAGAAGAGATGAGAGAACTATCTGAATGAAACACATATTGCTGTTTAGGAAAAACTCTTTAAAGAAAGCCAGGGGCTATATGTTACTTCTTTGTGGACCCTCCTTGCCTTATATAGCTTGGCAAAAAATAAAGCACTCCTTAAATATTTGCTAAAAGAGTCAATGAATAAAGAGTGAAAAATGGAAGGAACCCCCTTGAGGTTTCCTTCCAGGAGATGAAGAAGCAGTGGAGGTGGTAGGATCTTTTAACTAACTAACTAACTAACTAACTAACTAACTAACTAACTAACTAACTAACTCACTCACTCACTCACTCACTCACTCACTCACTCACTCACTCACTCACTCACACACACACCCGACAAACTCTACAGCTGTGGTCCCCAACTTCCAGGCCGTAGACTGGTACAGTTCCTGGCCTGTTAGGAACCGGGCCGCACAGCAGGTGATTGGCTGGCGAGCCAGTGACACTTCATCTGTATTTACAGCCGCTGCCCATCACTCGCATCACTGCCTGAGCTCCGCCTCCTGTCCAATCAGCAGCGGCATTAGATTCTCACAGGATCACAAACCCTACTGTAAACTGTGCATGCGAGGGATCTGTTGTACTCTCCTCATGAGATTCTAATGCCTGAGGATCTGAGGTGGAGCTGAGGTGGTGATGCCAGCGCTGGGGAGCGGCCGGAAATACAGACTATCATTAGCAGAGAGGTTTGACTGCACAGAGACCATAATAAATCAATTTCTTGCAGACTCATATCAAAACCCTAACAGTGAGTGGCAAGGGGCAATGTAATAATAATAGAAATACAGTGCACAATAAATGCATTGTGCTTGAATCATCCTGAAACCATGCTCCCCTACCCCCCCACCCCCCCACCATCCATAGAAAAATGGTCTCCCATGAAACCAGTTCCTGGTGCCAAAAAGGTTGGGGACTGCTGCTCTATAGGACTCACCTGCCCAGAGTTCCTAAATTTAGACGCCAGGGCCCCTGCTACAGCCTGGTCCACGTTGGCACTGTCAAACACTATGAATGGAGCGTGACCGCCCAGCTCCAGGGAGACCTTTTTCACAGAGTTTGCTGCATAGTGCAACAGGATCTGAAAGCAGAGGAGAGAGTGCTATGAGCACCGAAATCAACTACCAGGACTATTAAGCCTTTGTTTTAAAAAATTATCCAATAGTGAAAGAAGCAAGGTACACAGTAGTAGTGTGTATGTATCCATGGGATGATTCTTTGCCTAAGAAAAGGGAGAAACAAGAATGTTTATTTATTTATTTCAGAATATTATGGAGGTACAAATGTTTTGATTACATGGATTGCTTTTGTCATGCTTGAGTCCCATCACCCAAATAGTGTTCATAGTACCTACTAGGTAGGTTTTATCCCCTTCCCTCCTCCCTCCTGGTTAATTTTCCCTGAGTTTTACTCCCTTCTGTGCGAATGTGTGCTCATCAGTTAGTTCTAATTTAACAGTGAGTACATGTGGTGTTTGTTTTTCCATTCTTGAGATACTATTTAAACGCTATTGCAGGATAGTAGGTCTTTGTCCAGTTATAGCTACAGGAAAGATGGAACCATTTGAGACAGTTCAAATGAAACAGGCAGTGTTCACAAGCCCAAGGTGGCTGTACAAATGCTTCCCTAAGTGATGTACACCCCGAGGTTGTGGGTTTTGTGATAGGACCCTTGGTCAAAATCTCGAATGGCTGGAAAGCTGGGCCTGTGCCAGTACTTCTCTAAGTGCCTAGATGTTCATATTCTAACAATCAAAATGGTGGCAACAATTTTCTCACTGAAATGTCACCCCTCAAAAAAACAGTCCAAGTTTTAAGATTAAACATATTTCTTTCTTGGACTCAACATAGCGATTTTATTTTTGAATTTTAAAGAAATGCCATCTGCCAGGCCACTGACTTTTCCTGAATTTGCTCCAGTATAAAAAAGATTCTCACTGTTGGGTCACTCCATTTCACTTCCACCCGGCCTTGTCCCTGGTGTCTGTCTCTCCACGTGCACTAGCCTGTGTCCTCTGACAGGGTCTTCTCCCCACTCAGGCTCCGCTTCCCTGTGATGGCCTGCCATGGCTCCCGGAGTGCTGTGTGAACTCCTGGCACCTCTTCATGAATATTTTCAGCTTCACCTCTCACTGCTGACCTCCTCAGGCCCACAGCCTCCAAAGACAGAATGTGATTAACCCAGCGCACCTTTCCATGCCAGGCCACTTGTGCTAGGTCACCAGCCAGCTTACAAACTGTTTCCCTCAAGTCAAGGACCACCCATGGTTCAGTTCTCTGTGCAGAAAGAGCCAAGGTGTCAGCCAGGTGTGGTGGCTCACGCCTGTAATCCTAGCACTCTGGGAGGCTGAGGTGGGAAGATTGCTCGAGGTCAGGAGTTCGAGACCAGCCTGAGCAAGAGTGAGACCCCATCTCTACTAAAAATAGAAAGAAATTATCTGGACAACTAAAAATACATAGAAAAAATTAGCTGGGCATGGTGGCGCATGCCTGTAGTCTCAGCTACTCGGGAAGCTGAGGCAGTAGGATCGCTTGAGCCCAGGAGTTTGAGGTTGCTGTGATCTAAGCTGATGCCATGGCACTTAAGCCTGGGGGGTGGGAGGGCAACAGAGCAAGACGCTGTCTCCAAAAAAAAAAAAAAAGAAAGAAAAGAAAAGAAAGAGCCAAGGTGTCATGTGTTATAAACACGCTGCTGTCTCCACAGCAGGGCCCTAGAAAGGGGGGAGGGCAGGGCAGGCATCTCTAGAAGAGGCTCAAGGTGTGGGCCGCAGTTTTTTTTTTTTTTTTTTTGAGACAGAGTCTCGCTTTGTTGCCCAAGCTAGAGTAAGTGCTGTGGCATCAGCCTAGCTCACAGCAACCTCAAACTCCTGGGCTCAAGCAATCCTGCTGCCTCAGCCTCCCGAGTAGCTGGGACTACAGGCATGTGCCACCATGCCTGGCTAATTTTTTCTATCTATATATTAGTTGGTCAAGTAATTTCTTTCTATTTATAGTAGAGACGGGGACTCACTCTGGCTCAGGCTGGTTTTGAACTCCTGACCTCCAGCATTCCGCCTGCCTGGGCCTCCCAGAGTGCTAGAATTACAGGTGTGAGCCACGGCTCCCAGCCTTGGGCCGCAGTTTTGAGGCAAGATTCTGTGCCCCTGGAGCAGGAGTTCAGGCACCAATCTCTGTGAAGACTAGCTCAGAAGAGGCCCCTGCAATATGGATTAGTAATTCTTTTAGCTATACTTGTCACTCTTCCCTTGAAGCCACTGTGGTCAATCACTGTCCAGAGTAAAGAGGAGCAAAACTAGATTTGGCAGGAACATGGTAGACATTTTCCTGGAAGCCTGTCATATGATGACAATTTGCTGGGAAAACCAAGGAAAAGCAATGAATGCTGCCATTTGCCCAGTATCCTGGGAATTTCTCTGGCTTGCAAATGTTCTACAACCGTTTCTCCCAGGCCACTCTCTTTTTCTCTGCTTCAGAGTAACATCTGTATCCCTCTTACATTTGCATGGTAAGATCCATTAATCAGGAGCGTAGCAGTTCATGGATTAACAGATTCCTATTTCTGATGTGAGTGAATGGCAGGATTCCAAAGTGCTACTCCCTGAGTGTGAGTTTATGGCACGACAAAAGTAATTATGGTTGGGAGGTATTGAAACTGCTTTCTTCCTTCCTCTTCCCATAGTTTCCAAAAGTGACCACAGGTTCGCAGAACCTTTCAAATTAGATTATTTTTGTCTGCTGTGTGTTTATGTACGTGTCCAGCATGAGTATAGATACATATATGTATATATTAATATAAACTAGCAGGAAGACATATATTACCTGGAAAGAGACACCATGAACAAAAACTTTTGTTCTATTGTGACGTTTTTCTCTTTTGGACATTTAAAAGGATAAATAAAAATCTACTCACAGGTATACATATGAAGTTTTGAGGAAAGACCTTTTGAACATTCAAGGAAAAAAAAAAGACAAGATACCTTTCCATTTCTGTAAATACCTTTATACTAAATGCAATTTTTGTGCAATTCTAAGGCATCCATTTCAACATCAATTGTGTGTTTCTGGAATCTCTAATTCTAGATTATGAAAAAATATGAATTCAAGAATTGAAGAAATAAAATGGATAGCTTTTAACTACTTCACATACAACAAATAATGGGAAAATAATGAGAACCATGCTGCCTTAATTCATTTGGTACTGTCAAATGGGAATGTACGTCATGTTACATAAGAAACATTCAAAAATATCTCCAGAAAATGATTAGACATTACTTTATTTGACAAAGCTTTTAACACTCTGCTGCAATCTTTCTAAAAATGGTGACTAGGATGAAATAGTCTTTTTATACTCTATAAAGAGAAAGTATTAGAATGGAATTTTTTTTCCTTTGAGACTTAAGTCACATACCTTTCCTGTAGCTGTTGAGCCAGTAAAGGAAATTTTGGGCACCAGAGGATCAGTACAAAGTGCTTCTCCTACTTCCTTGGTCTTCTTTCGAGAGCAGGGAATAACATTGTATACACCTGGAGGAATTCCGGCCTGGTTTGCAAGCTATAAAGAGAAATAGCAAATTATCAAACTGAAAAAACCCCATAAATAAATAAATGTTCAACAGCAAAAGTAATGGAAAAAAAGTTAAGCTGACCTTGGGTACCGAATAAGAATATATATGGAACTGAAATAAGATTCTTTTTTTTTTTTTTCGAGACATAGTCTCACTTTGTTGCCCAGGCTAGAGTGCCATGGTGTCAGCCTAACTCACAGCAACCTCAATCTCTTGGGCTCAAGTGATCCTTCTGCCTCAGCCTCCTGAGTAGCTGGGACTACAGGCATGCGCCACCATGCCTGGCTAATTTTTTCTATATATTTTTAGTTGGCCAATTAATTTCTTCCTATTTTTAGTAGAGACGAGGTCTCACTCTTGCTCAGAGCTGGTTTCAAACTCCTTGAGCCATCCTCCTGCCTCAGCCTCCCAGAGTGCTAGGATTACAGGCGTAAGCCACCATGCCCGGCCTGAAACAAGATTCTTATTAGTACTAAAGTGACGTTAATATTAATGTATTGTTAAACATCATTAAAATTTCTTAGAGTATGAGTTACAATGCCACCTTCTGTTCAAACAAACAACTTTCTTTCCCAAGAAAAATCAGATATTCCAAAAAAACAGTTGTCTGATTCACCTGTAGGACCAAGGATGGCAGCACAGAAAGGGGCATTTAGTGAGCACCTACTAGGTGCAGCACAGTGGGGCAAAGCTTTTCCATAGGTTATTTCCCACAGCAGTGATGAGGAGCAGGACGACCAGGAGGGAAGGGTCTAGCCAAGGCCACACGCTAGGGAGTTACAGAACCGTATGCTCGCCCTCAGCTGCCCGACCTGGAAACCCGTGCTCTTTCTGTGGCGATTCTGTTTGGATAAGATGTATCTCTAAATTATTTTAATTTCTGTGTTCCATTAATAATAAGCTTATTACATACATCAGGCTGGATATTCTGGGACAATGGTGGTAGCGGCAGAGTTTTGGAATCTCTCTAAATCTCCTCCTAAAACCAGCAATTAGATAGCACAACCAAAACATCTGAGACATTTACAAGGCTAGATGACAAGGTATCTCCACAAACCACAGATTACAAGACGTGGGCGTCATATCAGCACCTGTGTGAGAGGAGGCAGAGGCAGCAGCAGGCTGCATGATGCACCTGATAACATGGAGGTCCGGGCGGCCCACAGGTGTTCAGCTGAGAGCAGCGACCTCGAGTGGGAGGGCCTTGCCCGGCCCAGTGGGAGGTGAGCACGAGGGACACTGCGACAAGGACTGAAGGGCGTGGAGGGTCCACCCCTGGGAACAGTGTGATGCAAGAGGAGAAGGCCCAGATAAAAGTGGGGAAGGGAACGAAGCCAGGGAATCTCGGGAAGCAAGTTGCCTTATCTTTGAACACAACACAGGAGAGAACAAAAGGTACTCCGTGAAGGTAGAGAAGCTATTTCCAACCAGGCCTTCTTCTAAAAGTTCAGGGAAACTAATTTCACATAAAAAATAAACAAAACTCTCAGAAAAGCACTGAGGTCAAATCCCAGACAAAGTTGTTAAAAGAAAAAAAAGAGAGAGAATAAGGAGTAGAATAACATTCTCATAGACAACAAAAGCATACTAGAAAGACATGCCCACAAAACAGACCCAAACTGTAACTTAACTATTTCAGAACAAGGTAAAAGATGATGAGAAAAGTACACCGATACAAAAGAACAACATGAATCAGAGCTAAAAAAACTTTGGACAAAAGGAAAAAATCATTTCAGAAATGAAGAACAAACTAGAAGGAACACACACAAGAATGAATAAACACAACACATAAAATCTTAACAAAAATAGAAGGTGAAAAGGAAAATAATTTTAAACATTAGGGAAAAGGATATAAGAGAATGTGACAAAAAATATTCAACTTATGGATAACAGGAACTTCTGAAGAAGTAAACCAAATCAAGGATGAAAAACAAATCCTGAAAACTTAATAGAGATCCAAAAAGTTCTGAAATTACATATTGAAAGAGCACGCTGTATAATTAGAGCATGGACCTAGAACAATCATAAGGGACACATTGTAGTGATATTACTGGTCTTTAAAGATAAAGGGGGAAAAATCCCACCCACTTTTGTGTATCTAGGCAAAAAAAATCTCCAACCCTCCCCCCAAACAAAACCCTTGACTTAGAAAGGCAAGAAACTTACATTATCATCAGACTTTTCAACACTTTATATCATTGGAAAATGGAGAATATATTTAAGATAATCAAGTAAAGAAAATGTGAGCAGGCCAGGTGTGGTGGCTCACGCCTGTAATCCTAGCACTCTGGGAGGCCGAGGCAGGCTGATTGCTCAAGGTCAGGAGTTCGAAACCAGACTGAGTGAGACCCCGTCTCTACTAAAAGTAGAAAGAAATTAATTGACCAACTAAAATTATATATACAAAAAATGAGCCGGGCATGGTGGCGCATGCCTGTAGTCCCAGCTACTCGGGAGGCTGAGGCAGTAGAATCGCTTGAGCCCAGGAGTTTGAGGTTGCTGTGAGCTAGGCTGACTCCATGGCACTCACTCTAGCTTGGGCAACAAAATGAGACAAGGGAAGGTTTTTTCCCCTTCTTCCTCCTTCCCCTGAACCCCCCCCCCCCTCCCCCCGCCCCTGTCAGGGAAGAAGGAAGGAAGGAAGGCAAGGAAGAGAAGGAAGGGGAAGGGAGAAGGAAGGGAAGGGAAGGGACAGA